AGGTGTTCTCTCTACTCTGTGATCTATTGTACATTTGAAGATGACTGTGTTTTGCAAAGGACTTACCAAAACAATTACAATCATAGGATTTTTCTCTAGAATGTGTTTTTTTAATTTTTTTGGGATTTTTGAGACAGGGTTTCTCTGTGGCTTTGGAGTCTGTCCAAGAACTAGCTCTTGTAGAACAGGTTGGCCTCGAACTCACAAAGATCCACCTGCCTCTGCCTCCCGAGTGCTGGGATTAAAGGCATGTGCCACCACTGCCCAGCTATTGAGTCTGCTCAATTTAATGCAATTGAGAAGACTGTGACTTGCAATGGCCTTATCACACTGATTATATTCATAGTGTTTCTATCCAGTATGTGGTCTTTTTAAAAATTATTTATTTATTTATTAAAAATTCCCACATCCTCCCTTCCTCCCATTTCCCTCCCACTTTTTCCCTCCCCTTCCCCTTCCCTCTCCAGTCCTAAGAGCATTCAGGGACGCCTGCCCCATGGGAAGTTCAAAGTCCTCCCCCCTCCATCCAGGTCTAGGAATGCGAGCATCCAAACAAACCAGGCTCCCACAAAGCCAGTACATGCAGTAGAATCAAAACCCAGTGCCACTGTCCTTGGCTTCTCAGGCAGCCCTCATAGACAGCCACATTCAAAGAGTCCAGTTTGATCACATGCTCCATCACTCCCAGTCCACCTGGCCTTTGTGAGCTCCCATCAGTCTCACCATCTCAATGGGTGGATGGACCCCTCGTGGTCCTGACTTCCTTGCTCATGTTCTCCCTTCTTCTGCTCTTCATGTGGACCTTGGGAGCTCTGTCCAGTGCTCCAATGTGGGTCTCTGTCTCTATATCCAGCCAAAGCCAGATGAAGGTTCTATGGTGATATGCAAGATAATCATCAGTGTGGCTGTGGAACAAGGCCAGTTCAGGAACCCTCTCCTCTGCTGCCCAAGGAACAGCCTGGGGACATCTCCTTGGACCTGGGAACCCCCCTAGAGTCAGGTCTCTGTGAAACCCTAAAATAGCTCCCTTAATTAAGATCTACTTCCCTGCTCCCATATCCAGCCTTCCTCCATCCCAACCATCCCATTATACCAAGCTCTTAAAGAAGTACTAGAAGGAAAAGCTCAAGCAAAGGAAGCCAACAACACCCATAATAACACAGGAATCTGACAACCCTGCACCAGCACAACTCAAAGAAGGGAAACACACAAACACAAGCACCAGAAAAAATAACCAGAGTTAACAATCACTGGTCATTAATATCACTTACTATCAATGGACTCATCACCTATAAAAAGGCACAGGTTAAGAGAAGGGATATGAAATCAGGATCCAACATTCTACTGTTTACAAGAAACACACATCAATCTCAAAGACAGATACTACCTCAGAGTCAAGGGCTGGGAAAAGGTTTTCCAATCAAATGGACCAAAGAAACAGTAAGTGTGGCTATTCTAATATCTAACAAAGTTGATTTCAAACTAAAATCAATCAGAAGAGATGGAGATGGACCCTTTATACTCATAACAGGAACAATTTATTAGGAGGAAGTCTCAATCCTGAATATCTATGCCCCTAATATAAAAGCACCCACATATGAAAAAGAAACATTACATTACTAGAACTTAAAGCATACATCAAACCCCACCATCTAATAGTGGGTGATTTCAACACTCCTCTCTCACCAATGGACGGGTCAACCAGACAGAAACTTAACAGAGAAATAAGAGAAATAACAGATATAATGAACCCAATGAACCTAACAGACATCTACAGAACATTCCACCCAAACAGAAAAGAATATACCTACTTCTCAGCATCTCATGGAACCTTCTCAAAAGCTGATCACATAATTGGTAACAAAGCAAACATCTATAGATACCAAGAAATTGCCGTAATCACCTGAGTACTATTGGATCACCATGGAATAAAGTTAGAATTCAACAACAATTTGAACCCCAGAAAGACTACAAACTCATAGAAACTGAATAGTCAACTACTGAATCATCCCTGGGTCAAGGAAGAAGTAAAGAAAGAAATGAAAGTCTTCCTTGAATTCAATGATGAGTTCAATGAAAATAAAGACACAACATACTCAAACCTATGGGACATTATGAAAGCAGTGCTAAGAGGAAAGTTCATAGCACTAAGTGCCCACATAATGAAAATGAAGAAAGCACACATTAGAGACTTAACAGCACACCTGAAAGCTCTAGAAAAAAAAAGCAGATTCACCCAGGAGGAGTAGAAGACTGGAAATAATCAAACTGAGGGCTGAAATCAACAACATAGAAAAACAGAAAACAATCCAAACAATCAATGAAACAAAAAGCTGGTTACTAGAGAAAATCAACAAGATTAACAAATCCCTATCTAAACTATTCAAATGCCAGAGAGAGCACATAAGTTAACAAGATCAGAAATGAAAAGGGGGACATAACCACAGACACAGAAAAAATTCAGAGAATTATTAGATCTTACTACAAAAGCCTATAATGCCACAAAATTGGAAAATGTGAAAAAATGGACACTTTTTAAGATACATACCATATACCATAATTAAGAAAAGACCAGGTATGCAGTTTAAATAGACGTGTAAGGTGCGAGGAAATAGAAGCTGTCATCAGAAACCTCCCAACCAAAAAAAGCCCTGAACCAGATGGTTTCAATGAAGAATTTCACTAGAACTTCCAAGAAAAGTTAATACCTATACTCCTTAGTGTGTTTCACAAAATAGAAACAGAAGAGTCACTGCCAAACTCCTTTTATGAAGCTACAGTTACTCTGATACCAAAACCACACAAAGACACAACCAAGAAGGAGAATTACATACCAGTCTCACTCATGAACATTGACACAAAAATTCTCAATAAAATACTGGCAAATCGAATCCAAGAACACATTAGAAAAATTATCCATTATGATCAAGTAGGCTTCATCCCAGAGATGCAGGACTGGTTCAACATATGAAAATCTATCAACATAATCCATCATATAAATAAACTGAAGGAAAAAACCATATGATCATTTCATTAGACGCTGAAAAAGCATTTGACAAAATTCAACACCCCTATATGATAAAGGTCTTAGAGAGCTTAGGGATACAATGTTCATTCCTAAATATAAAAAAAAATCAATATACAGCAAGCTGAGAGCTAACATTAAATTAAATGGAGAGAATCTCAAAGCCATCCCACTAAAATCAGGAACAAGACAAGGATGCCCACTCTCTCCATACCTCTTTAATATAGTGCTTGAAGTTCTAGCAATTGCAATAAGACAGCATAAGGAGACCAAGGGAATTCCAATTGGAAAGGAAAAAATCAAACTTTCTTTATTTGCAGATGATACGATAGTGTACATAAGTGACTTCAAAAACTCTACTAAATAACTCCTACAGCTGATAAGGACCTTTAGTAATGTGGCAGGATACAAGATCAACTCAAAAATATCAGTTGCCCTCCTATACACAAAGAACAGAGAAGCAGAGAGGGAAATCATAGAAACATCACCGTTCATAATAGCCACAAATACCATAAAGTCTTGGGGTAACTCTGACCAAGGGAGTGAAAGATTTATTTGACAAGAATCATAAGTCTTTTAAGAAAGAAACTGAAGATGATACCAGAAAATGCAAGGATCTCCCATGCTCTTGGATTGGGAGGATCAATATAGTAAAAATGGCAATTCTACCAAAAGGAATCTATAGATTCAATGCAATCCCCATCAAAATTCCAATTAAACTCTTCACAGAACTTGAGAGAACAATAATCAACTTTATATGGCAAAACAAAAAACCCAGGATAACCAAAACAATCCTATACAATAAATTACTTCCAGAGGCATTACCATCCCTGACTTCAAATCCCATTACAGAGCTACAGTAATGAAAACAGCTTGGTATTAGCACAAAAACAGAGATGTTGACCAATGAAATCAAATCAAAGACCCAGGTATTTATCCACAAACCTATGAACACCTGATTTTTGTCAAAGGAGCTAAAAGTATACAATGGAAGAAAGAAAGCATCTTTAATAAATGGTGCTGTCATAGCTGGATGTCAACCAATAGACAAATGAAAATAGATCCCTATCTATTACCATGAACAGAACTCAAGTTAAATGGATTAAAGACCTCAGTATTAATCTGACCACACAGAGTCTGATAGAAGAGAAAGTAAGAAGTAGTCTACAACACATGGGCACAAGAGATCACTTTCTACGTAGAACCCCAGTAGCACAGACAATAAAAGCAACAATGAATAAATGGGACCTCCTGAAACTGAGAAGCTTCTGTAAAGCAAAGGACACTGTCATTAAGACAAAAAGGCAATCTACTGATTGGGAGAAGATTTTCACCAACCCTTCTTCAGACAAAGGTCTGACCTCCAAAATATATAAAGAACTCAAGAAACTAGACATTAAAACTCTAATTAACCCAATTAAAAAATGGGGTACTGATCTGTACAGAGAATTCTCAACAGAAGAAATTTAAATGGCCAAAAGATACTTAAGGTCATGTTCAGCATTATTAGGGATCAGGGAAATGCAAATCAAAACAACTTTGAGATAGCATCTTACACCTGTCAGAATAGCTAAAATCAAAAACACCAATGATAGCCTATGCTGGAGAGGATGTGGAGTAAGGGGAAACTCATCCATTGTTGGTGGGAATGCAAACTTGTGCAACCACTTTGGAAATCATTGTGGCGCTTTCTCTAGTATGTGTTGTTCTATGCAATTGAAGATTACTGTGATGTACAAAGGCCTAACAACACTGATAACGTTCATAAGGTTTACTTCTCTCCAGTATGTTTTCTTTTATGCAACTGAAGACTATTTTGATATGCAAAGGCCTTACCACATTGATTACATTCATAGGGTTTCTCTCCAGTATGTGTTCTTTTATGCTTTTTAAGAACACTGTTGTCAGCAAAGGCCTTACCACACTGATTACATTCATAGGGTTTCTCTCCAGTAT